ACCAAGGACTGAACCCACACCTCCTGCTTTGGAAGCTTGGAGTCTTAACCACTGAACCGCCAGGAAAGTCCTGAGGATGTATTTTGCATGGAGAAAAACCACAGTAAACTGAGCATGAAATCAAGAGGATACATAATAACTGTGAGGAAGCTGACTAGTTCAGTCTGTCTAGGGGCTAGTATGCAGAAGATAGGGTAGGAAATAGTTTACTGGAGTTCCTTAAGTGCCAGGTGAGGAGGCCAGCATTTCAGAACTGAGATATCCCTGGAGGAGACTAGGACAAACACATCCAGTGTGCTGGGCAAAGTTCATGGGGCAATCATTCTCTAACAGGAGGTTGGACTAAATCAAGATAGGCAGGCAGAGCAGAATATTGACAGGCTATGGTGATAAGAACACTGGTTGCCTCTGCACAATCAGGACCTAGCATCAGGAAGGTCAAAGACCTTCCTCTAAGATGGCCCTAGGCAGAATGGGAGGGGGAACAAAGGAACCAGGTAGTAGAAGTCAGACAAAGTCCCAGAGACTGGAGGGATAGGTGTTACAGCAAGGTGATGACTTAGCAGTGGCGCTGCCATTGGAGGGAAGATGTGATTCTTTTTTTTTTTAATTGTTAAAAAAAAATTTATTTGTTTGGCTGCCTTGGGCCTTAGTTGCCACACGTAGGATCTTCGATGCGTCACATGGGAGCTTTCATTGCTGTGCTTGGACTCTAGACTCTAGTTGCAGCACTCGGGCATAGTTGCTCTGCAGCATGTGGGATCTTAGTTTCCCAGCCAGGGTTCGAACCTGCGTTCCCTGCAATGAAAGGTGGATTCTTAACCACCAGACCGTGAGGACAGGTGAAAGACTTCATTCTTCAGAGCAAGCAAGGGGCAGAAGGATTAAAGAGGAAGAAATCAAGGAGAGAGACTGGAAAATATGAGTGGGAAGAATGATAAAAATGATCCTGAGTCAATATCTTTTCAGGCAGGGATTTCTTACATGCTATAGAGGCAAGGCCTGAAAGTTGAAGCTGAAGAGTAGAACCATGTGCTGGCTAGTTGTGCACTTTCTAGAAAAATATACAAAGAATACCTAATAATTACTGGTTTGTTGTTTAGTCACTAAGTTGTGCCCAACTCTTTTGCAACCCCATGGACTGCAGTCTGCCAGGCTTCTATGTCCATGGGAGTTTCTAGGCAAGAATACTGGAGTGGGTTGCCATCTCTTTCTCCAGGGTATCTTCCCAACCCAGGGATTGAACCCACGTCTCCTACATTGGGAGGAAGATTCTTTACCACTGAGACACCAGGGAAGCACAATAATTACTGATATGAACACATAAATATACCTACTTTCTTTCTTGATTTTTCAAATTATTTGGACTAGATTCTATACAGATCAATTTTTTTTAAAGGTATAAAACCCAAGCTAGTACTAAACTGGTAATTTCTTTCACTATTTCAACTATTATCAAACATTACTTCACAACTGTAGGTTTACCTTTCAGGCCTACATAGACTCTCATTTTATCCCTCGCCCCAGAGTCAGAGATCATGCCTGATCATTCTAGTGGTCTTCAGAAGTAAGTAGGGTTTGAGGCTTAGGCTTCACTCCAGCAAAACTTTTAATTTTAGAGAAGCCAAACATTACTGGCTGAGCCTCCCGATTCTTGCCTTCATGCAATATGATGTCCTGTAGAGGTTTTCTTTCTTTTTCCCTTTAGCATATAGTGCTGGCTCTGCCACTGCCAGTGTGACCTCTCATAACTCTCTAACCTGAGGCTTAGACTCACTTGAAAATTATGTGCAAGATATGACAGCTCTAAGCTTCTAGGATCCTGATCCAACAGTAAATAAAATTTGTTGGGACTTCCCTGGTGGTCCAGTGATTAAGACTCTGCGCTCTCAATTCAGGGGGCCCAGACTGGATGCCTGGTTAGGAAACTAGATCCTGTATGCTGCAACTAAGACTTGGCACAACCAAATAAATACATAAGTAAAAAATTTTAAGAGTATAATTAATTCCTAAAGCTCCAGAATATTGGGTCCATGGAGAAAAGGTTCTAACAGATAAAACTGTTGTAAATGACTGGGATAAAGAATTTTTGTGAAAACTTCTCACATTTTTTACATTATTTTTCACTTTTCAGTTCAGTTCAGTTCAGTCACTCAGTCGTGTCTGACTCTTTCCAACCCCATGGACTGCAGCACACCAGGCTTCCCTGTCCATCACCAATTCCCAGAGCTTACTCAAACTCATGTCCATAGAGTCAGTGATGCCATCCAACCATTTCATCCTCTGTCATATCCTTCTCCTCACTCCTTCAATCTTTCCCAGAATCAGGGTCTTTTCCAATGATTCAGTTCTTCACATCAGGTTGCCAAAGTATTGGAGTTTCAGCTTTAGCATCAGTCCTTCCAAAGAACATTCAGGACTGATTTCCTTTAGGATGAACTGCTTGGATCTCCTTGCAGTCCAAGGGACTCTCAAGAGTCTTCTCTAACACCACAGTTCAAAAGCATCAATTCTTCAGGGCTCAGCTTTCTTTATAGTCCAACTCTCACATCCATACACGACTACTGGAAAAACCATAGCTTTGACTAGACGGATCTTTGTTGGCAAAGTAATGTCTCTGCTTTTTAATATGCTGTCTAGGTGGGTCGTAACTCTCCTTCCAAGGAGTAAGCGTCTTTTAAGTTCATGGCTGCAATCACCATCTGCAGTGATTTTGGAGCCTAAAAAAATAAAGTCTCTCACTGTTTCCCCATCTATTTGCCATGAAGTGATGGGACCGGATGCCATGATCTTAGTTTTCTGAATGTTGAGTTTTAAGCCAACTCTTTCACTCTCTTTCACTTTCATCAAGAGGCTCCTTAGTTCTACGCTTTCTGCCATAAGGGTGGTGCCATCTGCATATCTGAGGTTATTAATATTTTTCCCGGCAATCTTAATTCCAGCTTGTGCTTCATTCAGCCCAGCATTTCTCATGATGTACTCTGCATACAAGTTAAATAAGCCGGGTGACAATATACAGTCTTGAAGTATTCCTTTCCTTACTTGGAACCAGTCTGTTGTTCCATGTCCAATTCTAACCGTTGCTTCTTGACCTGCATACATATTTCCCAGGAGGCAGGTCAGGTGATCTGGTATTCCCATCTCTTGAAGAAGTTACATTTTTAGCTGCCCACTATCCCTAACATTTATGTAGCGGAATTAGTCTTTCTACACTTAAAAATCATAGCATTTCTAAAGTGCTTCACAACATTGGGGTTTTAGTTAATTGAACATACTTTGAAAGGAAGACTAACACTGGAGATTTTCCTGAATGTTATTTCTCGGGATTGGTGACAAAACTGTGAAGTACTCATCATAGCTCATTTTGTGATTTGCATACCTAGACTATTTTAGAATTGTTGGTATTATCTGAATAAGGCATTCTCAATGGGAGAAAGAATGAGTCACAGAGAATAAGGTTTAACAGACAAGAGCAATCACAGAAACAAACTAGAGAGTGAGATTAGAGAAGACAGGCATTTTCAGAAATGAAGCCTTAGGGGTAGCTGTACAGGAAGAATGTAAGACAACTCTTCAGAGAATAAGACTGAAATACGATTACCCTAACAGCTTGAAAGACTAATTTTAATTACATATTTAATATGTAAATGTGGACTGAACTGAACTGATTCAAATACATAAACACTCTGGTAGTGGTAGTGGGGTGTAATACACTTTCTACCTCTCTGGCAAGCCCTGTTTCTTGTTTTCCGGATGTCTCGGTGTTTACTCCTGTGTCAGGTTGAACCAGCCCACCAGGTTTAGCTACTCTGCCATCAACGCCCTAGGTGTGCTTTGGAGCCATGAAGCATACTGACAATGGTAGGGCAGGAGTATAAATATTTAAACTACAGAAAGGAAGAAGAAAGGGAAGGTATAACTGACTGATGGGAAGTATGAAAAGAAAGTACAAGTAAGAAGCAGCGGAGTTGGGGTTGGCTTCACTATCTCCCAATTTGGGACACTGGGGGTTTGATTTTGGCGGCGGGGGGGCGGGCCCGGCTTCCTGTGTATAGCGCTCCTGGATTCTCCCAGGAAAAGGCCGATGAGTTCTGGAGCGGGTTCTCCGTGTTGAGAACACACCGGCGCTGCCACTCGGCGAGGAGGTATTCCCAGCGCCCAGGTGTTCCTCGGTCCTCTTTCTCCCCTCCCTGGAACTCAGATTACATCATCCCAACCTGAGCAGCGTGGCTAGATTTTTCCCATTTCAAACTCCCGCTCTCTGGAATGCCAATTCTTGTTCCTTAAGCAAACCAGGTTGGAGCTGTTATGTTTCCCCCAACGAGGGGGAGGACACTCCAGGATGAACCTCATTTTAGCGAAGAGGCTATTAAATGACCCAGGGCACTACTTTTCCTCGCATTTACGAGCTACAGCTGCACAGGAAACACACGGCCACCCAAGGCCGTGGCTGCGCCAAGACCCTCAGCTCGATACGCTTGTCAAACGCGACCCGAAACACCCTCAGCGAAGTCGGAGAGCAACCGGAAGAGGAAAACCGGGGGTGTCAAGGCGGGGGGCGGGGCGCGGCGGGGTAACGCCGAGATGCCGCGCCTGCGCAGTCACTAAGCAGCGCCTCTCCGCGGGGCGTGCTCGTCAGGCCGCCGCACCCTATCAGGCGGCCGCAGGGAGCGCGCCCGCGGCCTCGCCCTCTCTCGCCCCACCCCTCTCTCATCGCCGCCTGGCCTTAGACTGAGGCTGGGAGACCCAGAGCGATCTCTACTCTCCGCCCCCCGCGGGCCCGCACTCCCCCTGGCGCGCGTGCGCAGGGGCGGACCGCAGGGCGAGGGCGCGAGGGGAGGGCGGGCGTACGTCCTTGCGTGCGTCTCAGGCAGCGCGCACGCCGGCGTGAGAGGGCACGGGGAAAAGGTGGCTCTGGCCGGGGAGGCTCGGTTTCCTGTGGCTATGTAGCTGAGCTCGTCAGCTCCGTGTCCTCCTTCGCTGACTTCGCCGCGTCCTAGCGCTGAGCTGCTGCTCGGGAGTGAGAGACTGTCCTCACGCCCACCGCGCTCCCTCGACGGCCGAGCCTGCTCGCTCGCCCGTCGGAGCGTCCCGGCCGAGCAACCCTGAGGGGGGAGGGGAGGCCATTTTGTCCCGACCGACTCCCCGGAACCGGGCGGAGCGGCTGGGAGAGGCTGCGGAGCAGCGGTCGCCGCCCTCGGAGGCACCGGACGCCGCCACCGTCGGGGCTTCCTCGACGAGGCAGTTCCTAGGTCACCCGCGCCCTCTCGAGCTGTCCTTTTTCTCACGCTTCCCCCTGGTCCTCCGGCCTGAGAACGCCCGGGCGAGGAGGAGTTGGCCGTAGTGAGAGGGACCGATCCCTTGGGGCCGCCGGCGGCGAGAGCCTGAGCCGCTCCTCCCAATGGCGAAGAAGACGTACGACCTGCTTTTCAAGCTGCTTCTGATCGGGGACTCGGGAGTGGGGAAGACCTGCGTCCTTTTTCGTTTTTCGGATGATGCCTTCAACACCACCTTTATTTCCACCATAGGTAAGACCTGTGGGAGGATGGTGTGCGATCTCTGCAGCTGCAAACCTTTCCTTTTACTCCAGACATCTTGCTTCCTGTAATATACGCCTTTGTTTCAGTGATCCCGATTCCAAGCGACAGACCCAAGTTACTGTTTGAATCGGCATTGAGCTTTCTGGGGCGGGGTCTTCCCATGCTTTCCATCCGGTCTTTTGCTCTCAAGTCTCCCACTCTGCTCAGTGCCTGCTGTTACAAAATATGCAGCATTATCACCTTTCCAGAATCCTATTTCTGTAAGCGTCAGGGTTGGCTTTTTCCATGTTTGTGTGGCGTTACTAGATGTACGATACTTGTAAGGGATTATTTTCATGGTTGGGGTTGAAGCAGTACGAGTCATTTGGTAAAGGCCTGAATTTATACTTCAGGGCAAAGAGATTCCATGTGGTCTTAACTTAGAGTAAACTTGAGGGTTTGTGTAAGGAATAATTAAAGCAAATTAGAAGGGAAAAGTGAGTTGCCCCGCGTTGACTAATCCATTGATGTGTCAAACAATCGGAGGCTCTTAGTGCTTGGGGTGGGACTCTCTGGCATGTTTGCACACAGTGCTTTTCGAGACATCAGCAGAAGCAATAATCTAATGGAGATGGTCAGTTTCTGTCCTCGAACCTGAAAGAATGAAGTTCTCCCTCCTATTTTACACTAGCATCTTATAGGGAAGTGTCTTGCAAGTCATAGCCTTGGGACTTCTAATGTACTTTTCACCTCATGTTTCAGAATTATTTAGTATGAAAGTAAGAACTAAAGATTGACCTTTTAAATCGGTTTCTTGTTTAGGAAAAGAAAAGGGAAGGCTCTAGGAAAGTCCCTTTCAACTCTACTGAGAAAAGTGGCATTTACACGAATTGTGTTAAATTGGGCTGGATGTGAGATCCTTTTTTTTCCCTCACGCGATAAATATCTTAACACGAGGTTGGCTCTGTCACTTGGGGACCAGTACAGAGCATTGGGGCAAGTGCAATAAAACTCATTTTAAGTGTAATTAATTTTATATTGAGATGATTATAAAAAGCAGGCATAGTTTTCTTTGAACTCTGGGAAGTGTCAAAATTAAGCTGATCTCATTTTATAGATTTGGAATCACTGATTTGGATTTCTTGTGATAAGTGTCATCTACTTAATTCATTCTCATAAAATAGATTATACTGAAATTTGACATTAGATCGTTTTAACTAGATTTTGATTTTACTTGTTTTTTGGGGAGGGCATTTTTGTAATTCTTGTCTCCTGAATGTCATACTGCTCTCTAGACCTATTGTAAATTTCATGAGACTTAGAACTTGTTCTCTGCCTGTGGGTTAGCACTTCCTACCACTAACTTTACTTTTAATATTCCACTTTTAGCTGTAGCTGGGTGGATCAGGTGGTTAGATCCTTCAGCAAATATTTATTGAGCATCTAACGCTAGGCACTGTTTTAGTGATAGATAGGTGGTGAACACGGTAGGCGTCTTAAGGAGCAGTCTAGAGAGGAAGCACAATAGAGTGTGGACAGTGCTACAGTGGGGGTAAGCATAGGGAGGAGGGGTGATTAGTCTAGATTAGGCTTGCATGGAGATGTCTAAAATGAAGTCTGAAGGACAAGTAGAAATTGAACTAGAGGGGTGGGATGGGGCCTTACTGGAAAAGGGAGCGTAGAATAAACCTGTAGTAAGATGAGAGATTTAATCCATGTTGGTCAGCTTTAACCTGTGGTTGAGAAAGGTAGACTGGAAAGTAGGAAGATAAACATTAACTCCCATCTACTCTTGGCCTTTTGTAATGGGTGCTGTGTTGTTTATTGTACTCAGAGCTAAAACTCAGTCCTGTAAGATAATGACACGATCTTCTTGGGTAGTCTTGTGGGACCTTAGTTCCCAGACCAGACTCAGCAGTGAAAGCACGGAGCTCCAGGGAATTCCCTTATGTAGTCTTTTTACTGGTGAAAATGTGTGTTGATTTAGGATCTCACATGCTGGGTTGGAATCCTAGTTCCACAGGTTACTGGTTATGGGACTTTGACAAGTTAATTAACCTTTTCTCCTACTTCAGTTTCTTTAAATACTATTAATAATAGTACCCATCACAGAAGGTAGTTGTGAGAATTTTATGAGAGCTAAGTGCCTGGTATGATGCCAGGCGCACTGTAGGAGCACAGTGCATGCATATCAGTTATATACGGAACACATGCCCCATATGCTGTAGTGGGGTAGAACAAGTTACTTTATGAATTGAATGCCCTGTATGCAGTGGTCATGCAAATATTGGTAGTGCTCTGCTAAACAATTCACTTTACACTCTGGAATGTTCATATTTTGATATGAAAATATTTGATGTGTGTGATATTTTGATATCTAAGACATGTTGAACAGAATATATGGATGTAAAATTCTGAGTGCAGCTCCAACATGTGGCATGTATTAGCTCTATATGCATGTTTAGAAGTCTCTTGGTGTCTTAGATCAGTGCTATCCAAAAGAAACATAATGTAAGTCACATATTTTTTAGTAGCCACATTTAAGTATTTAATACTGTCTTTTAGCTCCTTTTGTCCAGTCTTCTCACTTTATTATATAATCAAAACTTAAAATTAGTTGAGACATTTTATATTTTTCTCCAGTGTGTATGTTATTTTTACAGTTCATCTCAGATTAGGCACTTTTGGACAGTGCATGTCTAAACAGTATAAACTGGCCAGTTGGCAAATGTGTAGATGGTTAGAGATACTTGAAATATGTACTACTTTTAGGGCATTTTAAATTTCATCAGTTGGCTAAGATTTTTGTTTGTTTTGCTTTGCTTTTTGAAAAATATAGAGCATTCTCTATGAATGATACTGAAATTTGAGTTGACATTTGATTGTTAAAATGTCTCGAGGTTTGAAAGGAAGTGGTTACTTTGCAGGGGTTCAGAAGGGCCAAACTGTGAGTATAATGTAGCTTTTCATTATTTTAGACATAGGCATTTTAGTTACTTACTGGTTATTGATTCTTGGAAGAAATAATTTTTATAGGCTTATGGTGCTTATTTACAAAGCTCACAAAGGCTATTTAAATTTTTCTATGTACTTTTCCACACATCTATATCAGAAATTGTGTGTGATATTTATGGTCAGATTTATTGCAGACGGAGTTTTAAAAACAAATGATGATGGTATGTTCCACACTCACCAATCTCAAAGCAAATTCAAGGGCACTAGAATATAAGCTGCACAAGGGCAGAAGATTTTTGTCGTTTTTTTGTTTTTTGCTAATGGATGCTAAGCACCTAGAAGAGTCCCTAAATTTAATGGGTACTTGATAAATAATGAAGGCAGGCAGACAGGTGGTAAGGACAGTGTAACCAGGATCCTCTAGAATTAGCTAGTTTCATTTTAGTATTTCTTCTTTACCTACTTTCTAAGCATTAAATATATGAGGTGGAGAGAGTTGCTGGTTTTTGGATGAGCATATTTCATTGGTTGATTTGTCCAAGGTCACAAAAGCATTACCTTTGGGTTCTAGGTAAAAAACTAAATTGGTAAAGGCTCTTGCCTCTGGGAGAGGCAGTGGATGTGTCCCTTTTTTGGTCTTTCTGCATATTTTTACCAAGTGTTTTCCACTAACATGAATTTAAAAATTGGTTTATTGAACTGAGCCCATTTTATATGGAGAGACTGCTTTTTAGAAAATTGAGCAAAACCTTTTTCATTTAAATGTGTCTGGACTTTGCCGTGACACCCAGACAGTGGCTCATGCTGCAGAAATGCCAGAGTACATAAGAAATGTCTTTCATTTCAAGATCTATTTTTAGGATTGATTTAAACTATCCAGACATTTTCCCAAGGAAAGTACACAAATGGCCAGTGAACACATGAGAAGATGTTCAGCACCTTTTAATAATAAGGGAAATTCAAATCAAAACCATTATGTGATGTTACTTCACACCCATTAGGATGACTGACATAAGAAATGAACTTTTGTCATGCAGTTATCTGTTCCTGCTTTCAGTTCGTTTATGTATATACCTAGAAGTGAATCCTATGGTAATACATTTTTTGAGAAACCACCATATTGTTTTCAACAGTGGCTGCACTGTTTTTACATTCCCACTAGCACAGCACCAGGATTACATTTCTCCACATCCTCCAACACTTGTTACTGTCTGTTTAGCAGCATTATTCACAATAGCCAAAGGATAGAAACAACTCAAATGTCCATAGAAAAATGAATTGATATGCAAAATGTAGCGTAACATACAATGGAGTGTTATTCAGCCTTAAAAAGGAATGAACTTCTGATAGATTTTACAACATGGATAGACGTTGAAAACACTGTGCTAAGTGAAACCAGCCAGAACAAAAGGACAAGTATTACAGGTATCTGGAATAGGTCAATTCATAGAGAAAGTATAATAGTGGTTGCCAGGGACTGGATAATGGGAAGTTATTTCCTAATGGGTACAAAATTTCAGTTAATGGGGAATTACTGCTTAAAGGGTACAGAGTTTCAGTTTAGAAGGATGAAAAAGTTGTGGAGATGAATAGTGGTGATGTTTGTACAGCAATGTGAATATATTTAATGCCACTGAATTGTATACTTAGAAATGGTTAATACGTACAAAAAGACAAACACTGCATGATTCCAAGTACATGAGATATTTAAAGTTGTCAAATTCCTAGAAACAAAGTAGAATTGTGGAAGGTAGGTTGATAGTCTCCCAGGGACTGGGAGGAGGGGGAAATGGGGAGTTGTTTAATGGATATAGTTTTAGTTTTGTGAGATGAAGTAGCTTTGGAATTCTGTTGCACGTCATTGAGGATACACTTAACACTACTGCACCATACACTTAAAACTAGTTAGGTTGGTAAATTTTTATTTTATGTGTTTTTTTTTTTTTTGTCTTTTAAACTGCAATTTAAAAAGTGGTTAAATGTCAACTTTATGTTCAGTATATTTTACTACCAAAAAAACCCCACAGAAAACAAACAAACCCCAAAACACCTTT